GCAACGTACTTGACAAGGCCAGCGCTCTGCCCGCGTGAGACTGCGGTGTCATATTCCTTCTGAGCAGCAGCTTTCTCCTTTATTACTCCTGGGTATACTTTACCATCGATGGACCTGTTTGGTTTCCATAAAAATTTAATTAATATCAGAAAGTACGCGCTGGGGAAAGAAACTCAACAGAAGTTTCTTTGTGGCTGTACTTTGTGGCCCTCGGGGCATGAGCAGGGGGTGCTGTTTGGGTCCCACGTCCCTCCCCACCCAGGAGGATGTCAGGAGCCACCAACACAGTGCAACCCTTCTCCAGCCCCCAGAGCTGCCTCCTTCACACCACAGGTGAGAGTTGGGCCTACATGGAGAAGTTGGTGATGAAGGCTGTCCTGGGTAACTCCACTTCAAAGGTGGCCTCTCGGGACTCATTGGCTCTGTTGACAATCCTGCTGGTGATGACGGTGTGAGCAAATCGTGACGTGACCTTGCAGTCCACATGGAGGCTGTAGATTTCAATAGCAGGCTGGAAAAGAGTAAACAGGGTGAAACAGAAACACTCTGGTTTTGATCTTAAGCAGTCCTTACCTGGGTGATGTTGTTGGGAAAGTCTGATGAAGGAATGAACTGTTAGAAAGTCTGGCTGGAAGGGGGGAGAGGATTGTCCATGACCAGTCTGGCCATCTGCTTATTCACATCTCTGCAACCACAACCACTGCCCCGTGCAAAATCTGCAGCTACCTCTGTGCATTGTTGTCCCACATAAGGTCCTGGTAAGCCTTTTTCTGTGGTTTTCTCTCCTCAGGGTACAGCAAAGCAGCTACGGCATCACCCCAATACATCACCCAAGATAAATCTCAGGAAGATCAGAAGCCTCTTTAAGCATTTGACCCGTGGGACAGGCCCTGCTTTTTGAATGACTATTTACTTACTCTCTCAGCTGTTGACTTTGCTGTCTGTTTTCCACCTTATGTCCTATACAACACTTAGCAGGTTTGACACCCCACATGGGCCTCCAACCCTTCACTGGTTGCACAAGCAGAGAGGGCCTTTAATAGCAGCCAGTGGCCTCTTCTCAGTTATGGCACTGGCCAAAATTCAAAACTTTACCCCAGCTAAATATGGCCATTCCACACAAAGCTGTGACCACAGCTCTGGGCTCGGGCATCAGGGCAGGAGGTGCCACAGCCAGCGCTGGGTGAGTGATGGATGGCTGCTCCTGTTTTCAATACATGTGGCCAGGGTGTGCCCTATCTCCTGATGCTTCTGGCAATCCAGGACAATGGGATAAAACCCCAAAATATTCATTGAGAGAACAATGTCCTGATCCCAGCAGTTCAGGTACCTGCCCCTGCCCAGGCACCCAGAGATGGTACAAAACACAGTTTGTCTCTCCAGACAGTGCAAGTAACTGTCTACTCTTCTCTTTACCATTCCATATAAATTATTAAACACCTGTCAGAAACCTCCTGGCACTGCAACAGTCCTTATTTGGTCCTGTGTCAAGCTCCAAACTTCATCTGGTGGCCAAGGCAAAGCCACTGATCGCTCAAATTTGATATCTTACATCCCTGAGAAAGAGCATGATCAGACACATCTGCAAATGCCTCCTGCCACGTTTGTACTGTAACAGCCCAACAACCAACCAGAAAGGTCTTAAAAGGACACAAAGCTCTGAAATCCCAACCCAATCCACCCAAGGCTCCCCAAGTGGTGGTTACCAGAGGAGTTACCTGGCCAGCTACTGCAATACCACCAGATCAGCAAATGAGATATTGATAATAAAAATAGAGCAAATACCTTCTGAGCTTCTGCTAATACTATGAGTGAGGAAAAGACCAGCAATGCAAGCAATGTTCTCTGCTCCATTTTGGAAAAAACAAATTTTCAAATGAAATCTCTATTTGTCTTAATCAGTTAATGAGTAACTTGTAGTCGGGAATATCATGTAGACTTTGAAGAAACTTAATATTTACCTGTCAAACATAAGTAAAACTCAGACTTGGTTAACGCTTCTTTTTCCAACAGATCTTTGCTATTAAACATTATAATTTTAGTGTTCCATAACAGAAAGTTAAGAAATCCTTGTGTTTCCTTTTTGAACTTAGATCTCACCATGTCCTGTGAAATCCCACAGGCAGATGAACTGGTCTGTGCAGCAAGATGCAGGAATCTCTACCATATTCCTCAGCAATAATTTGAAAGAGAACATCCTTAACATTATCTCAAGCAGCACTTCAGAGATTTGGAGACTGCCAGGAGATGCAACATGCAAACCAGATTTTACAGCTGATGGCTTCTTCAACCTTTGTACCTCCCTGCCCAGCTGGCCCATGAGAGGTACAGAGCAGCACTTGTGAAACATCCCTTTTGGCTGCCTTTGACAAGCCATGATCTTTGGTAGGTGGTGCCATTCATTGTCCTAAAATAACACAAAAATCCTGTGGAAATACAAGCATCTGTGTTTGCTTCATGGCTATTTTACAGACAAAGTGTCCAGATGGAGAGCCAGCTTCTGGTGGCCTTGGATTTGTGAGGAGACACTAATGCAGGGCTCGATAATTTATCACTCACCCAGTTCACTATAATGTGCTGAGCACACCCTGGCCTTACAAGGCTTGTGCTTTAAATAACTCTTTTAAAAAGTAAATTTCATTTCTCCCAGGCAGGCTGTTTATACTACTGGCAAATTCTGTAGTCTTTATAGCAGGACATGTAAATATATATATATATTTTAAGAGAAAAAATTAAACTGTTATACATTTGATTAACTTGTACAACTTGTGTAATGCTTTAATCCCTTAAAATATACAGGATTATACACTTAGTGGCCTAAGAGGTGCAAGAGCCAAAGCTTTAGCTTTAATTAAGTGGATCTGTCATTAGTTTTCTAATGCCCATGTGTAAAATCCCATGGATGTTAAAGAGCTGCTTTCACTGCACACTTTTAGGCTGGATGGTCAGCTCTGCCCCACTCCCGGGTGCCTGGGGCAGGCCAGCACCTGGGAATCCTGTGAAATCCCTTCCACATCCCTCTGGGGCCTGCTGAAGCACCTGCAGGAAGATCCTCAGGTTCAGCCCTGTCCCCAAGTGGAGCACCAAGCCCTGTTTCAGTACAAACCCTGCCACAGCCATCCCTGCTGGGTCCAGTGCCGCTGCTGCTGGGACACTGGGCACAGTCCTGCAGCTCCCACTGCTTCTCACTCTGAAGAATGAACATGCTGTGAAACGACTCCAGGTCATCCCAGAGGAAGCATCTGAACTCACCATCACAACAGGAGGTACTTTTGAGTGCAAAGTTATCTGAAACTCAAACCCTGGGGCTTTGTTCAGACACTCCTCTATCTATTTTCCGTGATGTCCCAGGTCCATTGTCACACTTTCCATGATTGGACTGATAAGATTTACAAGGATGAAGAAAAAATTGATAAAAAATTTCTCCAGGCAGCTTTCTATTTGTCCCTCTCCCCTACAACTATCTACTGTCCTGCAGCAGCAGCCAGTATTTTTTCCAGGAGCAAACCTGGAGACAGGGGAGGATTCCTGTGATCCATACAGGAGAGCACAGACCTTGCTGTCCCAAATGGGGAGTGACTTTGCCCCAGGAATATGGTTTTACCTCCAGTGTGTATCTTTTAGATGAGATCCACCTTAAAAGACAGAAAAACTATAAGAGATGCCCAGTCCTGAGAATTTCCTGTCCCACTGGGAAGCATCACAAGTGATTGAACCTGATGACATTGTGAAAATAAAGCTGTTAGCTAAATCCCAAGTTTCTGGCAGGTGACTTACTTTGCTCCTCTGTTGCATTTGTGCTGCAAGTCTGTGGGACACGAGGTTTCTGTGCTTTGCTAAATTGGCAGCAACATCTCTGAAACAGAGTCAGAAGTACAGCATCCCCCTCTCCTGCCACCCCACTTCCAAATATGCAATAGTCAGTCCCTTGTATCACACAAAAGAAAGCAACATTTTGCCCCACTCGTCCTTCTCCATCATTCTTATAGCTATTGAACAAGCTCCTGCCAACTTCTCATGGTAGATTAATTAAGAAGGGTTTGTTAAACCCATTGCAGGGGCAGCTCCAGTGTTATCAAGGTGAGAACTCTTTTCCACCATGACATTTTTCACGCTCTGGAAGGATCTTTCTCAGGGGAAAAGGCTGTGCCAGGGTACTTGTGAGGAGCCCAGGCTCCATGGAGAAATCCTGTCCAGCAAAACGAGGAGGCAAAGGCTAGGCTGCAAATGATAATCCTTGAAAGTGAAGAATATGGGGTAAGGCAACGCACCAGCAATATCGTTAAGGAAGCTTTCCCCTTAAATCCAAAGGATTTTGCTGCTGCCTCACATGAGCTCTGCTCTGCAGCCTCTCTGGGAGCTGTGTGGGCATCATCATGTTTTATCTGTCAAGTGTTTGGGGCACAAAAGGCAAATATAATTTTTCATGGTGCACAGAGACATTTGACATCACTTTTACCTCTTTATCACATCCAGCCTGTGTAAAATTAAAGTAAGTCCCTAAATAAACATGTCACCTACCTTATTGTCCCTGGATGGGCTGCAGGAGGATGCTCCATGTTGGACCACAAAGATCCAGCTGAGAGGAAACACTCCAGGTTTTGGGGAAAGCAGATTTGATGTTTAATGCAGCAAATCAAGAAATAAACAGCATTGGAAAAAAAACAGCTCCCAGTCAGGGCGGGCCAGCAGCTGTACAGGGAGAGTCGGTGGGGCGGGACATGGCAGCTGAGTCTGTCGCCATATTTCTCACTCAATCCTGTGGGACATGAGGAAAAAGCCACTGGGAAATGGGCTTAAATCCCTCCTTTGGTGCTGGTGCACTCTGAGGGTGCAGCATCTGCCCTCCCAGCAGAGCTGCATGAGGGGAAATCATGGCAGTGCTGCCCTGAGGGGTGTGAGGGGGGAGACGTGAGGGAAGGTCATGAGGGGGAACCCCTGAGGGGACAGCCAGAATTAATCCGAGTCTAAACCGAAATGAGTCACCACAGTGTGCCAAGGTGTGTCCAACAACCTTTTTTTATTAAACCATTGTAGCAAACACCATCCAACACATAGAAAGAAAGCATGTAATAAAAATGAACGTGGAAGTTTTATCCTTTGACTTGTGCATAATCCCTCCTTAATGACTTACAGTGGAAAATAGCTGCTTGAATCTACAGTGACTCTAGGGGGGAGTAAGGGACAGAAGTTTGGGAAAATGTTACAACAATCATCTGGGTGAGACACATCCAGGTCTGCTGTCAGCCAAAGACGCTCTTGGCTGGCTCATCCTTTGGTTTCTCAAAGACCGTTTCAGTCCCTGTCCGAGCCCGGCTGAACACGGAAGGTGCTGCAGAGCCCATTTGTTCTTGGAAAAGAAAACCAGGAGAGACAATCAGTGAAGTAGCACCCAAATTTGGTGAGTGAAACTAGTGCTCCTGGAGTACATACATACATATTTGATAAATACTTCATCTGTCCATCAATTCCCCAAACCTTAAAGCACAGCGTTCCCACCCCGAGCACAGTGCAGCTGACAGCACCTGTAGGTCACTACCACTGACTGGCCCCAAATCCCTGCAGATGCTTTAGAAATTAGGGAACTACTCAGGTCCAGGCTTTTATGCTGAAAAAGGGTTAAAATTCATCATTTTTCCCTATACTAGTGGTAGAAAAGCAATACAAAGCCAGAGCACCAGGGGTGTTCTGTGCAAGCAGCCACTCTCTTCTATCTCCCCTCCTGCCCTTTATTCCTCCCAATTTCTGCAGAATCTCAAACACATCAAATTCATCAAATTGAGAGGCCAGAAATCCCCTAACCCATGGACCAGGCCTCTGATCCTCAACTTGAGCAGTCACTAACATTGATGATAGCCCCAGGGCTTGGTTTGGCTCTCCTTCCCCTTTCATCCAGACAAGGATAACAGCACCACCAAGCAGAGCCCAGTTGGTTCCTGATGGACCCCAAATCCCTGTCCAGCCGGGCCCTGTGGTGAGCACACTGCAGGCTGCTGTTCCAGTGGTGACTCTGTCACTTGTCTTTGTCTTACTTTGCTTAATAATTTCCATCCCAGAGACTTACCACACTGCCTCATCACTTGGTAGGTTTTGGATTTAATTTCCTGGTTTTTGGCAAGGTTTCCTCTGGCTCCTTTGAGGTCTTCTTCCTTCACTGGAGGACGCTTCTTTTTCACAGGCGCTGGCTAAGAAACAAACACGTTGTCCAGACATCAGTATTTTGGGTTTGAAGCACAGGGAACAAAGCTGCCTTAACCCAAATGCTACAACACACAGAGGTGCTAACACAATATTCCACCAATTTCAATTCTGAGCCTACACACTCAGCTAGTCCAGGGCTTTGCATAACCAAAATTTCACTGCTCTTCCCAAAACCTGTTATCATTTTGCTGTTCTGAAACTGTCTTCTGATTGCACAGCCTTTGAAAGAGCAGTGGATTGTTTAATTAAAAAAAAATTTGTTTTTATTCTTATATTTTTTCTGTCCAGCCCTGCTTGATAATTCTGCAAGTACTGATTAGTAATTCAAGAATCTGTCCACTATTTGGGAAGGAAAAAACACTTCATTACTAAATTGGGCTTGTGCCTCAGTCTACTCACTACTTCTTCAGGAAACTGGTCAGAGAGATTATGAAGCCAGACTTGATTTAGTTGGAATAAACACTTGACCCATCATAGTTATCATATTAAATTTAGGGAACAAAAGTATCTGAGCTCTCAACAGGGCTGTCTACAAGCATGTACTGAACACATCTGAAACACTGGGCTCAGAATCCAAAGAAGGAGAAGGAAATCTAATAGAGAAACAGATGCATCATCAGGTGGTGCGCTGCAATGGCCAAGTACTAATCTGTTTACAGTTTATCCTGTTAGAAGAAAATTTGGATAACGCTGCTTCACATCAGCCTATCTCTATCTTTAATTAGCACTCCACAGTCAGACACAACTTCACTCAGCAGCAGGCAGCACCACCAGCATTCCCCCTTTGGTTTACTATTTCATGGACAGATTTCCAAGGTCCCACCCAGCAGCCCTCATGGCAGGAGGCAGGGACACTGGGATATGATTAAAAAGAACAGAAGACCCACACACTCCAACTGGAACAGGTCTGCACACTGAACCATCAACTAAAACTTCTCTGACATACACAGGGTTTCTGATATTTGGGTTCTGGCAGTGGTGGAGCCCGCTCAGGCATTTCCAGGCACCGACTGTGAGGCTAAAAAGGGTTGTGGAGAAAAACAAATCCCTCAAGACCTACAAATCGCTGGAGTAGGGAGTATCAGGGAGTGTGCACAGCCAGTGCATGCCTGCCTGGATCTTGATCGGGTGGGCTGGCTCCACGGGGGCCTTTGGCATGTTTTCTACTGGCTGTAAATTCCCGGGAGCGCTCAGAATAGCTCACTGTCAATCCCATTTGTGTGTGGTGTGGGAAACAAAACATGCACGGGATCTCTGGGGAAAACACTCCACCAGTAGCTAAGGCAAGTGAGGGGAAAGGGTGGTAGCAAAGCCTCCAAAATCCACAACAGCTGATGGTCAGTTAGCAGAGTAACCAAATATCCCACAGCCAGGGTTTCACTTTTTCCTCTGTAATGACAATCAGCATGTGATGGGAACAGTCCTTCACATCCATGGCACGGTCCACAGGCAACCAAAGCCCCTTGTTGTGTTAACAGAAATGGGAAACATGCAAAGATCCTTCACCCATTACTGGCAAGAGACAGTAACTGTGAGGCTTCTTCTCACTGGGACAGAATTCTTGGGGACAATGAGGAAAGGCAGCTCTTGAGAAGCACCAAGATACAGCCAGGCCGAGCAGAGCTGTTAAATTTCACCCAGTTATTTTAAGATAAACCCTCCCATGCTTTGATCATAGGATTTTCCAGCAGGACAGTTGCTGTGGATTAGTTGGCCCCCAGCTGAAGAGCAAAGCTGCTGCACAGAGGTTATGGTGAGCCCTGGCCAGCAGCTGCCAGGGTCACAGCCCCACCACTGCTAATTGCTCCCAGAATTTGTGAGCAGGGTTTGCCAGGAGCCATTCCCAGCTGGCACAGGAGTGCAGCCTGTGCTTTATCTCCTCCTGTCACAAGTCAAAAAGTGCTGGTTTACAAGACACATGACTGGTTTTTAAGTCCCTTTTACTTTGGAATAAAGAAAATCAGCTGAACTGAGTCACTCTATGTGGTTGAAGAACTGTCCTCCCCTACTCTCCCTGTGTTCCTACTCTCCATCCCACCCATCCTATAAAACTCTCATGCTGGGGAGAGCTCTGCCAGGCACACACAGCTTGCATTGTAACGTAACATTTACGTGAAAACCTCAACATTTCTGAACTAATTTTGAGAGCACTTTGAAAGCCTGATTATTGGGGAATGCAGTAAAGACAAACCATTAGTTACAAAATGAACATAAAAGCGTCTAATACAAAATTTCAGTCTTGAATACTTTATCCTAACAGTTATAATTTTCAGTCACACACTCTTTTCCTCCATGTTACCACATCAAGCTTTACACACTTCAGTATAGCCACCTCCTTTCAAAACTACTGTCAGAATTTTTAACCATTGTCTAAGAAAGCGTGTTGAAAAGGCACAGATTCCCCCCCTCCTGTGAAACATCCCCAAACCAGAAGAGGGGAAATGTTTTTTTCCCTTCCTACAGAAATAAAAATGTTTAAGGTAAACCATAACATTTTAAAACTAAATCAATGAAGCACGTAGAGGGCAGCTGCTTTCCTTCTTCATCAAATAATCCCTCCTAACACTGTACTTGTTAAAACTGCATCAGTGCAATCACACAAGTCACAGAAACTCCGAACTCACTGGTTAACAAGAGGAACTCGCTAACAAATTCTTCCAAGCAAAGCATCCGAACCAGTGACAGGTTTGCCAGGGCCCCTGCTCCGAGGACAGCCAGTGGCACAGCTCTGCCCGTACCTGTGACATAACTGCGGTGCTCCCTCGCCCCAAATCCCTCCGAGGTGCTTTCCCGGCTTTGATTAAATCCAGCCCGTGAGCTCTGCGAGCGCCTGTTGTTTTCCTGGACTTATATAGAGCATCCAACGTGAAGTCATGAGCTGGGTCATCTTCCCAAAGCAGAGCCCGGGATGATTGGGGTTGAGGGAGGCTGTTGTTGTTGCTGGAAGGTTTATTCCTGGCGATGACTCGGGCGTGCAGCACTCCGGGAGCCGGGCTGACGGGAGCAGACAGCTGTGGCAGCGGGATGTGGGGAAGCCCAGTCCGCTACGGGAGCGGCTTCCCTGGGAGCCCGATAGGGCTCTATTTATAACTTTAAAAGGCAAAACTTTGTTATGGACACAAAACTGACTCTGACTCCTCTTGGGGGAGCGAGGAGAAGGTAAAAAAGAGAGTATTTCTTTCCCAGCATAAAAAAAATAAGCATTCTCTAAAGATTATATAAACCCAATGTCCGAAGCATAACATTGTGCCCTGGATTGCTTTTGCACAGGATCTTTAGCAGAAGAGTATTTTGTGTGTTTTGGAGAGTTAATAAACTGGTTTTATTAACTAGTTTTAACTGGTTTTACCCTTACAGTTCTATCGCTCATCTTACACAACTGAGGGTAAAATCACTTTCTACTTCCAGCACTATTAGTAAGTGTAACCATTTCACCCATCATCTGTACAGGAACACCTTACTCAGACACGGATAAACTCGGTGTTCCCCACTGCACATGCTGACAGGGGTAAAACCCTTCCCAGAACTTTTAATGTTTTTCTCTAAACAATATTTAAATTAAATTAAAGAAAAAAAAACATCTCTAAGCATGATTTCTGTTTTTCATTAGTGGGAGAGGATTGGGTGGGGAATTATTTTCCTTTTTTTTTTTTTTTGCATCATGCAAAAAAATCAGCTTTTATGACAGCACTCAACACAAAGAACCAGGACTCCAGCCAGGTGGGTTAATGTGAAAAGGCAGTTGTGGCAGAGCTCCAAACATCTTCTCCTAGAGAGACTGATGATTGATTGTTGCAGTGGTAGGAACCTGCCCTGGCCTTTCTTTGAGCTCTGCCCATGTTTTGTTTAGGCTACAGAAAAAAAGAATGGGAGGTCAAATAAAATTGGTATTTTCCATTATGAGAACATGACATCAAACACAGCTCTAGTGTTGTGTGATTGGGATTGTGGGATTTGTTGGCTGTGAATTAACCCCCCAGGCCCATTCTGCCTTTCAGCTGCACTCCTTCTAAGCCTCAGAGGTTTTCCTTTATTGGGGGAATTATCTGTGGGTGAAGAAGTAGTTTGGATGTTATGTCCTCAGCCATTCCTTAGGTTGAATTTCTATTTTAAACCCCTGGCTTAGTAAACCAGAAGAAGCATTTATGCAGAACAGCAGTGCCTTTAGTAGGCCAACAAAGCAAAAATAAAACACTGATTTTAGAAAAAACAGCAGATTTTTTTCTATTGTACAAAGCAACACTTCTCCTTCTCTGCTGTTTCTCCACAGTCCCACAAGCGTCACTATTCCGACACTATCTGTTATGACAGGAAAATAACATTCTGCACGTTTAAAGCAAATATTTAGAATTCAAGACACTGAACTATTTTTCCCTTCAGCTTTCAAAATTGCTTCAGTTAATTGGTACTACATATTCCTCACTCGAAAGCAGCAGAGTTGTGCTTTCATGGCAATTTAATCTGTGCAAACAAAATCATTACACAAACAAAATTAAATCACTTCAACCTTGCCTGCCATTTAGGGCAGGAGGCGAGGAGTTTACAGAGGTAGAGGGCATATCCTGAATTTTCCAGGACATCCCCATAGCCTGGACAGTTCCTTGATTGCACATTTCCTACACCAACACTCAACAACAGCCACAATCATTTCTTTGCACAGATCATGGGCTATTTTTCCTTACAAAAACCCCAAACTAAGTCTACAGTTACTTACATTTCAAAGTAGAAATTCTGTTCCCATGGCTGAGGTCCTCAGATCTGCCAAATGGGACATGAATGACAATGATACAAGATAGGCTCATTTATTCAATAGTGGCTATTAAAAAGAAAAGTTGATCCTCTTTAACCTTCCACTGCAACAGTAAGTGTGGAAAACTCCTTTGCTGAGAAATGGTTGCAGATAAAATATGGCAATGACCACAGAGAATTTGGTGAATATACACAGGTGCCACTGTGGGCTCCAGATCTTACAGAAGATTTCTCCTCCAGGGAAGTGTTAACACCCCTCAGGGGGCTGACAGGTTTGGCAGAGTGAAGGTTATACTCTGAATTCCCTGTGAGGATGAACTGAATATGGGGCTGCTTGGAAAGTAATGAAAGTAATGGGCAAATGTTATCCAGGAGTTACAGAGGTAGGATTGGATTGATACTGTGCAGCTCCAGCCCTGAGAAAGCCTTCCTCAGGGAACAGATCCGAGAGGAGCCTGCAAGGATTCTAAACAAAATTTGCAACTTAATAGCGGTTCTTCCAGCTCAAATGGGATTAAGGTAAATGGATATACTGAAATTAAAATCAACAGAAGAGTGGACAAAATTAGACCTGAATTTAAACTCAAGTAGCAAAACCTGCTTCCCACAGGAGCACACTATAAACACTGAAACACAGGGACTTCGAAACAGAGCAAGTATAAAACAAGTGTACAAATCTGTAATAAGTCCAACTTTATTGTAAACCATTATACAATGTAATTACATCAGATACCTTTAAAAGTTTAAGGTAACACCACTGATTAAACAATATGGTCCGAACAGAGGGCAGCAGAATACAGCTGTTGGTTTTGCTCACATTGGCTATACTCTGAATTCACCTACAAACAAACCCCACATTCAGTTTGAGACGGATACCCACGCAAGACAAAAACACCTACAAAAGAGTCCCTTTTTTAAAGATACTGCAGTTTTACTTTGTAAAACCATAGTAGTCATTTTCAGTAATTGAATTGGAAACTTCCCCTAAAAAAAGTTTGCACGCCTATGCTGTAGATGTAACTCTGACTCGATGTGGCCGAATTTATTCGCTTTCACTACTGGTTTCTCCTGTAAAAAGCACAGCAAAGTTGCAAACACGGGTTAGTCAAGCACAGTGGCAGAGATTCCTTGTGATGCTCAGCTCTGAGCAGAGCGGGAGAGCCCAGGCCTCCCTCCCCAGGCACGGCAGGAACGGGAGCAGACACCTGCCAGAGGGGATCACTTTGCATTGCTCTAATTTGCAACTCAGTTTCTGAGTTTTCCCTGAAGAAAAGCTATAGTACATTTTAGTTAGCAACATTAACAGACAGCATTCACCTACTTAAAGTAAGACAAGGGGACCTGAACGTATTAAAGCCAGAACTTGAAAACCACATATTAGACAACACCAGTGTTTTAAGTTTATGCAGATGTCACAGGTCAGATCCCAGAAGCAGTTAATACATTTAAGTTGACCATTTGCAGTAAATTCAATCTCCACCAATACCTCTGTGTCTCTTCTCTCAGTTATAATCCCTTTCTCTTACTTTGGCATAGACTACATAGCTTATTTTCACTAAACAGAATCACATTTCCTAAGCACAGCCTGAATTAAACCTTTGCTATGAGTTGTCCCAAAGTACAAATACAAGCAGAAATCCGAGTGCCAATTTTAGGATAATGCAAATGTTGAGAAGTTCCAATACCATTACTGGATCAACTCCTTTTGAAAAGTCTATTTCAGACTGTCCTGCCAGTCAGTGAGCAGTAAGACACAGTGAAGCACTAGGCACATATTCCCTTCTCACACTTACAAGCTCATCAGACAAGAGCACCTGTTCTACTTGTACCTACGGCAAGAATTCCAATATTTACCTTACAAAGAGGAAAACCACCAATTTACATCTTCCATCTCTTTCCCAAGACAGCAAAGAATGAATAGGAAAAGACCTCAGATTTTGTTATTTAGCTAAAGTTGTGAATAAAATTATTGTCTTAGGAGAAAGAGCTGAATTTTCCCCTTTGAAGGTTGCTCCTCCTGTTACTAATGTGGTGTTTAAAATATTTCTGTGTCTTTGGCTCATAGTGCTTTACTATATCATCTTGCTAGGCATACCAAAATCTCACATCAAGTGACATTCAAGCACTTAAGACATGAAAAATTAGGCATTCAGGACCTTTGCTACAACCGTCTTCAACAAACTGCTCCACAGCACTTTACACTGGTTTGTACTTGGTCAGTAAGCTTGAGGTCTGCTGAAAACAAATATTTTCACATGATTAAGGCCATAATCTTATACTGACAATTCACAGACTAAACATGAGACTAGAATCATTTTGATAACTGAAGTAACTGGAGGGAAGAGGAAGATAAAATGCAAGCTCGGACAGTTCAATCCGCGCGTGCTGCTCAGGTGTCTCAGCGGGTGAGGACAGCGAGGGCTGTGCAGTGGGACACAGCACACGTCCAACAGCTTTATGTCACTGCCTGGAACAGAACAAATCCTATGCTAAAAGAAATAAATGCTGACATTTGCGACAAGAGCCAGTCCTAGCTCTTAATCCCTTTGGAAAAGCGATCTGTACAAGACTATTCTGTTGCTGAAAATGAATTCCTGGAAGTACTGTGCTTCTGGAAACCCGCGCCCACCCAGTGGTAAATCATCAAGAGAAGATGCAAGTCACACAATCAATAAAAAAACCCCAAAAAACCTAAAACAGAGGCAACACTGATTAGGGACATTTCCCTATCCCTACCCCCCCGACGTCAAAAAGAACTCAGTTAAGCTCCCGATGTCATTATTTTGTAGATTTAGTCTAAAAGAAACACTAGTGCTGTAACTTATTGCAGTTCTGACATTTCAGTGCACAGTAATGAAGGTCAGTGGCTCAACTAAAACCTCAGGTTTGGTAAAATGGCCCTTGGAGCCGGCTGGACACGCTGAGGTCTGGGAGCATGGTGTTCACCTCGGCAGCCACGCAGGGAAAAGGAATGCTGGAGTAGTGACAGTAAGCACGGGAGAGCACAGCTCAGCATTTACTAAGGCCCATTTAAGTGGTCTGGATAATAAATCACATTAAGACCTAGTAAATCTATAAAAAAATGTAAAAAATCTTAAAAAGTTCTGAGCAGTTTTCCAATGAAACTGGTTTGGTTTAAGGCTTGGGACTTTCCTGGTGTCCAGATCCTACAACAGATTTGCACTTAAGGTCTGTTGTCACCCCTTTGACACGTCGGCTTGTCCTGCACAAGGTTTAGCTAAGCAAGGAAAGCTGTCAGAAACAATCATTGAGGAAATATGCAAAGCAAAAGGATGTCACTGAAAACATGTCTGCTAGGTTTCAGATGAGCATGTGTTGTCAATTATCAGAAGAGAGACACTGAAAACCACAGAAATTCTGTAGTAACAACTGCACTGTACCCCTTGGGTTGTTTGTTTGTTTAACTGCTAAAGGATAATGAGACTTTATGGAAACGAAACAGGAGAAATTTTTTTGTTGTTGCTGTTAAGCACACTAAATAGAGGACTGTTTTTCCAACAAAAACCAAGGGACAGAATTATTTTTTGCAATATTGTAGCACAACTGCTTCAGTCAGATCACGGTCCTGTACCGCAGGCCCTACAAAAGGAAAAGTGTCAGAAGTGTTCCATCTCTTTTGGGTCATTTGAGAGGTATGCACGAGAGACTTGCAGGAACAGAAATAATGAGTCATCCACAGATACTCATTTCACAAATAACCATCACAACGGATTTTTGTCACACACTAAAGTGCACATCTGTCAAATATGCAAACGCCACCTCCTATTAAAAAAGGTATTTTCGAATTATGTGGTTGAAAGCACACATAGGACTGCATTTTTAGTGATATTTGGTGACTTCAGTAGTGACAGAGAGCTCTTCCCTTTGCAATCCCTTTGTCTTAAACCAGGACATAAGGATAAATAAGATTTTCACTACAAATATTTTGACCTGTTCTGCACAAAAAAAGGGAACTGCACCCTTTTCTCTGACAAAGAGAATCTTTAAATACAACTGTATGAAAATATAACTTAAATATAAAATAGTCAAATAGATTTGAGGAGACTTGGAAAAAAATCTTTGTTCCACCTATTAGTTCCATAGGTACCCGGTAGCAAGTAAACATTTGTACTTAAAAAAATAATGTTAAGTTACAGCTTGTAACCATAAACTATTCTGCTCTAGGAATTACGCTGCAAAAGCCAGTTTTAGTAATAAAACACACTCCTTTAACTTAGTCAACTCTGATGCCTTTTTGAGAACTTCTTACACTGTCTCATCAGTAACCAAAAGTGAAAGATTCTGATCTGTTTTCTCTGATCTTCTCTGACACAGAACTCCTTAGTGACTCATCCTTAACACCTCTGCAGTTTTTCACGCATGATGAGAAGACATTCTTGCATAATTGGTCAGTGTGTCTGTAGTGCAACTGAGCTGGAAGTCTTCCAACCGCTTGCCTTCCGTTGGGAGACCTTGCTTTTTGAGTCAGTTTGTATGCAAACGGAGGTGCAATTGCAACATTAAACCCCACTGACGAAGTTCTTTTTGCCAGGAAACCTGCAGACACACAGGCCAGGGGCTGTGTCATACGGGCAGACCAAACCGGTGCTTCTTCTTCTTAATGGGTTTCAAGTTGGTCAGTCTGCGCAGATCCTCCTCGGCGTCCGACTCCTCCATCTCATCATCTGCTGAAATCAGGATCTAAAAACAAATGGCACGTGGACCAGTCACTCTTTCTTCTTTCTACTTTTAAACTTTTACCTTTTTTTTTTTTTTTTAAGCTTGTTATCAGGGAAGAGCTGACAGACCACAATTAGGATTTACTGCCTGCACTATCAAACACCATCACACATCCTATCTGGGAGCTCCATAGATTTCAAAGAGGGATGCATGCATATTAATCTCACTACAGCCACTGAGCCTAAACCTGCACCTCCAGAACAGCAGGGGCAGCTTGAAAGAGAATATTTAAGCCCTCTCTCCAAACTGGTACCACGGAGTCGTTTTATTAAGGAAAACCCCCTATAAATAGCACTGTTTATCACACAGAAAAGTTACATTAACTTACTAAAGCTAAAACAACTTACCCTCAAAGAAATGACCCATCCCTTCAGCTGAACTAAAAGCTGCTCACTTAGTGTAATTTAGAATAAAATTATGCTAAGGCAAGTATGTAAACAGTTCTCCAAAATCAGGTCAGTTGCCTCCACCAGCTCTCTCTCACTTTAAGCTATTAACCTCTCTTTGAATTAGAATTGTCTGTTTGTTTTGTATCCCCTGTGGGGTTTTTTTTAGAAGTATCTGCAGCACAGCTCACCTGGGATATTTAGATATGTTATTGTGTCTTCCTGCCCATCTGGAAGGAAATTAACTGCCAGAGTGGTGCAACAAAGACATTTTTCTTAACTGGTTCTCCACAGCAAATGCTGGGAACTGCTGCCAGGGGTACATGCACAGAAAATCAAACCTCAGCTGACAGTGTTCCAATTAAATCAATGGCAGGAGGGGTGAACTGGATTGATATTGCATTACTTGCAGCAGTGAACTCTACATACTTCTGACTCTGACTCTTCATGTGACGCTGCTCTCCTGTACCGGACTTTACTTCCATTTCTTGAATCTTGTCCTGCTTCCTTTTCTTCAAGTTTAGCTTTTGTCTTCCCTTTCTTCATAAGAAAATTATCTACTACCCAGAACATCAATGCCTGTCAAAGAGAAGGGGAAAGTGACAGTTCAGCTTTCTTCAGAGTAGAATAAGTTCATTTGGTCAGTATTTGGAGTTGACAATAATTCTGAATTGGCCAAACCATCTTGTGTGGGCACAGTGTCACGTGGCTTTTTACTCAGCACAGCAATGCCCTAGAACCCAGCTACTTGATTCCTTTGTGGAAGAGAAGAAAATCAGAAAAGTAGTGACTATTCACAGTGATTATATCTTAACTCTTCATGCAGCAAAGCTTTACCAGCAGTTATTAAATGTAAGGACACCCACTATTCCTGGCTCTAATCCCTAAATCCCGGATTCCTGAAAGAGTACACTTTGGGAAGTATGACTGCACCCTTGCCCTTTTCCTCTGCTCCACCATAGGCCAGCCTGTGGTCAGACACTGGATACTTCACATTACATCTGTCCTTAGACCAACTGCTTCCTGAAGCAAATTTCACTGTAATTTTATAATCTCTGTGTCAGTATTTCAGTATTACATCCAAACTACTGAAGTCATCAGGCCAAAGAGGTCTATGAGGCATTTCTGCCCCTCTCCTGAGCCCCATCCCTTAGCTCAGTGTGGATTTCAGCTTTGTAAAATCTACATATCCAGACATTTTATCCATTCCTTAACACCCCTTCCCTTAAGAACCAAGGTAACACTGTGTTTTAAGGACTAATGTTAATTAATGAAGACGTGCCAGAAAGATATCCAAGCAAACATTTGAGAGAAGTGTTCAAGTTGTACTAACATTAACAAAGAAGGGAACTATCAGCATGACGATGGCCAGCTCCAGCTGGGGGTTCTCTATGGGATTCAATAAAGCCACCTGTGAAAAGAAGAACATAAGTTCAGATCAGGGCAGCATGTGCACAAACTGGGTTAGGCAGTGCAATGTTCATGTGCCAGCTAATGCGACAGAAATAACGCAGATGAACCAAAAAAGGACAGTTTTGAGAAAAGCAAAGTACTTAGGACAGCTTATAAATTACCACAGATAAGTAAGTGGGGCTGACAAGAAACTTATCTCTGTCATTTTTGCTTACAGAAATCTGAGGAGCTGTGTGAGAATCATCTTGGACAGTTTAGAGCTGTGTGCTCCCAAGGAACATGTCTTAGGTTCCATCTTTAGGAAATTTAAACAGAGCAGAGTTTTACAAAATGCACAGTAGGAAGACAGCTCCCAAAGTAGTCCAGAGCAAACAACAGGGGTAAACTGGTTTTAATGGGCTGTAACAACATCACTTTCAATATTCAGCTGCAGAGTCTATCAAAATAAATATTTATCTAGTCATCAGCAATGGTTTTACAATCCACTGCAAACTTCTAAAGGCTACAGTTAAATCTATTAAAAAGGTCAGGCAAAGAAAATTCTTTAAAATTTAAATGCAAGAATATAAAATAGCCATAAGAATTAAATTATTTTCCTAATTAAAGAATTAAGAAAAGAGAGCATGTTAGACAAGGAGATAGAATAAAATTTTAGATATCAGAGTATATAAAAAACTCTTCAAAATATGATAGGATGTTCCTGGCAATGGATGCCAGGAAGCCTCATTAGCAGTATCCCAATTAAACTAAAAGAACATACCAGTACCACAGATTTAATCAGCAATGACTGCACACAGCTATGATGCCTGAACCAAACCCATAAACACTACCTAAAGTCTTTACAGCTTCCACCTGAAATTCATTTGTCTGTAAAATGCTGTAAAAGGACAAACCTCTTTCCACTGAGGTATAAGCAGCACTATGATGATGATGGTTTTCTCAAATGTCATAATCATTATGTACAGAGCACACTGGCCCACCCAAGCACTGCACTGCAGGGGGTCACCTGCAAGGAAGAAGGAAGGTTCAATACATGCAGAGATTTGATTTTACTTCACAGTAAATATCTCAGAAAAGCAGTGTTGGAAGAGGCAGCAGGGCAGCTAAATCCTCTTAAAGTGTCTTTTCTCAATTCCCTTTATGCTGCTCCTTCCCCTCCCTCAGCCTCACCCCATCTTTCAAAAAGAAACTGGACCTCACAGGACTTGACCCAATTCAGCAGTACCTGTAATATGAGCACTGTTTCATATAATCTGATGGAAGCAAGACAGATAAAGTTGCATTACATTTGTTTCCCAGCCCATTGTTAATTTTGACCCTCTATCATGATGCATGAAGTGTCTTGAAAAGGAAAACTTAAGGGAAACACAGCTGGGGGAAAACACATTTCCCTTCAGTCTAAGTAGAACTATGATTTTGCCACTCTTCCTGGGCTACCTTAAACATATTTTTTCTCTCTACAAAGTTCGTGACCATAAGTAACTGATCACAACTGAAGCAACATGTGCAAGAGCTCCTATGAAAAATATAATTGAGCAAAAAAATTAAGATCACAATTTCAGTGTGAAAGGGTTTGAAATTCTGCTACACCCCACTGTGGCAGAGTAAGAACCCAAGTGCATGAAGTTGTCTGCCAGATCAGGATGAAAACCACAAATATTTGACCAGGAAAACTTGTGCAGATTCTTAGACTCTATGAAAGAGAGCAGGAAAAAAAAAAGAAGAAAAAAGAGGGCTGTTAGGCCTAACAAGCTTTGCAGGTGAGTTCAAAGCAGCACTTCACTGGAAAACAAAAGGAAGGTCTGGAGGGGTATGACAGCACTTTAGTCTTTGCTGCAGCTTCTGCAACATCTTTAAAGACAGCTCAAAACTTTTAGCCTGGGGATGAATAATGGGCAATGGAAAATCAGATGCCTTTATGTGTTTGTAATGCATAATGGGCAGTTGCTACTTCCTTTTCTGGAACATTTCTGAAAGGCTTTCAGGATTAATAGTTGGTAATAGGCTGAGACTGTTTGCAGCTTAAATGCCACACAGAGAAACTGGTAAATCAGATTGGAGTCCAAAACAAAGCAAACTTCCTAACCACGTTTTACAGTGTGAGCTAATGATCAACACTCAACAAAATGCTCAAGTTTCACAACTACATACTGCAGCTGATGACAGTCTCTTGCAGAAAAGCTGGGAAGGTATGAACTGGATGGGTGGAGAACAATTCTGATATAAAGGAAAAAAGCTTTCACAATGAGAGTGGTTAAGCACTGGAGTAGATTGTTCAAAGGGGGTTCTTAAATCTCAAATCATGGACAAATTAACAACTGGACTGGACCATGCCCTGAACAACACACTTCAGCTTTGAGGTTAACCCTGCTTTGAGCAAGAGGTTGGATCACATCACATCTGGAGATCCCTTCCAACCAAATTTTTTCTCTGATTTTATAAGCCATGCAATTCAAGTTGTTAACATCACCACATCCAGAAGGTGCTCCCAAGAATATTTAGGACATTGGTACATTCAGAGGCTCAGTATACAAACTCAAATTAGAACTTCAATGTTAATGTTGAAGTCAAAGCTCTAATTCCATTTCTGAAGTCTCTCACAGCTTCTCTTGAATTCTGATTTTATACCTCTCATGTACAAGCTGCATTTATAGAATAATCCAGCAAATTAGTGGAAATCTTGTTACTGCGAGAAAAGCAAATAAAGAATGAAACTGAAACATTTTGAACCCTCTGCAGTGACAACTGTAGCAGCATCTTAGGAAAATGCTGGGCAGTGCAAAAGTATTCTATCCCAGTGTCTGCTACTGCCATCAGCTGCTTTGCAGAAGCACCGTTTTCAGACAGCTCTTGAACAAAATACCTGTTATTCCTCTATCCTGTGTCTTCTCTCTGTTCTTCAAATCCTGAAAAATTCTCTCAAGAAAATTCCAATTCACAGAACAACTCCAAAACAAATTTTCAATAGTTTTAAAGTCAGTACTCTCTACCCCACATGGCTGCAAGTAACTTGCTCTGTGAGTGGCAAACAAAGAGCTGGAGGGAAAAGATGCATCAGATCCAGTTTCTCAGCTTTGCCACATGAGAAGCAAAGACAAGCAAAGAGTCCACAGCACAATTCAGTTGCCAGCAGAGTTTATAGTCACCAAGAGGGATTTATCACCTGTTTGCTACTCACAGAGCTACAGCAGCCCAAGACAAGAAGGGAAGGAGAACACAGGGAACATTCTTTTCAGTACAGCTCATGACTGCTTGTCTCCTCTTTACATACTCAAATATATTAACTGATTCTGCACCTCTACTAAAATCCAACTGCTGACGTGATGAATCTGAAAATACAAAACTGGAAATATGAAGACAAATCTAATAAAATTTAAAATTCTGACATTAAAAAAGCCCCTGAGGGATCATCATGCTACTTTGTTCATAAATCAGCATGTGGTGCTGTTTTGCTGTACAAACAGCAACCATTTATAAATGCTGATATTTTGGTATCCGTTCCTTCCTTGAGGCATTTATGCTTAAAAACTATCCTCCATATAAAGAAGAAGCTTTTAAAACCAGCAGGACACTGCTATTTTTGTGACAGCTTCAAGTAATGAATCACCAGGGATCAAGTAATAGAGCTAAGAAGGGAAATGAGCTCACAGTGAGAACTAACTTGAGACAAATGATTATTTAGGCTCTAGAAACACAAACAACATCACTCAATCACAAGAAGAGACTTTTCTGGGGACAGGGGGAAGGCTCTTGTTTGTTTTCCCACACTTGATAACAAACTGAAATCACAGTGGTCTCCAAGCTGAGAACTTGGCTTTACTACTCCAAATAAAATGCCCCAAGATTTGATACCTGTCAATGAGCAGACCCCTGGCCACCCACGGGGTGGAGAAGAGAGAAGCCTGGAGAAGAGAAGGCTCTGGGATGACCTTATTGTGGCCTTCCAGTACCTGAGAGGGTCTTTTGACAAGAGCATGGAGTGACAGGACAAGGGGGAATGGCTTCACCCTGACAGAGGGCAGCATTGATCTTCGTAAGACACAAGGTGCATGATGAGATATAGAAGTTAAAAGAACCTTCATTACAAGTAAAATACTAAAATGATTGTGAAATAATCTTAAGATGAGTTAGGCACTGGCTGAAATACTCTGAGATTCTATCCTGGAAATCATTCCAGCCCAAGACCAGGGACCATTTACCATATTCCCCGAAGCGAAGGGACTCCCACTGCTGCCACTCCACGAGGCTGCTGACGGCTCGGATCCCGATGTAGATCAGCAGCATTCCTAAGGTGGCATCGAGCAAGAAGTTGATAAGGTACCTGAGAGGAAAAATGTAAAAGAAAACAAGGAGCAAAGGTCCATTTTCTACAGGTTCAGGGTATTTTAACACCACGATCGATAAAAGATCTATTGTATATATGTTGAGAAGCCAGAGTATGGAGAGCAATCATCTTTTAATGAACTCTGCTGTGTGCATACTCTACATAAACTCCAACATTAAATTATTCCTTTAAATTAAAACCAGATTTCCTTTTTACCATTACAGTTTTATTTTGCATGAAAACTCTACTTGACTAAAACCAAAGGAATAAGACCAGAAGTTACCTTAAAGACATCTCAATGAATTTGAAGGTAAAAAATCCAACCTAGAAGTTTCATGCCAAGGGGGAAAGTAAACACAACTAGAGCTTTTCTTGCTCAAGGGAGTCTGTTCCCTGCCCCAGCAACAAGCTGGGTATGGTATGAATACCATACCCAGAGAGTACAGTCACTGTTGAGGCCAAATTTCAACTTATTTTGTGTTAGGAACTGATTTACTTTCTTGCACTTCAGTTCTTATCCAATGAACATTTAAGTATTAGAAACAAGCCTTCCCAGGAAAAAATCCATAACCAAACCAAACCAGCCCTAAAGGGCCACAAACTGCTGCAATACTAATATTATTGTTTCAAAAGCAGCTTCTGGGGTCTTACCTATGCTTCAAAAAAACCAGAGATTTCAAATTAATTCTTAGGGTCATTCAAAGATGCAGCTGAAATTCAGAGCATTTTCTAAGTTGGTTTGGTTTATTTAATATCACCAATTTTAGCTGAACGAAACTGCATTTGAGAAAGAGCCAGCTGTAAGAGATATAGTAAATCCCTGTTATTGAGGTTCTTATTTGGTAATTCCAAATACTTAAGGTAAACCCTAGAGTCTATAGGAACTTATCTGCAGGGATAAAAACAGCAATCAGGGACCTGTGGGCTTCTGCAGCTGCAGAGACAAATCCACATGGGCCAAACAGCATCAAAAGTGTAAAGCAAAACAGAATATGTGCATTCAAAATAGTAAAAGAGGAGCTGCTCTGACCCTCAAAATCCCATTCAAGAGCAGGTGAAAATTAAAAATAGAGTGGATATTCCATAAGACTTCTAAAAATAGTTCTTTTCTAATAATTGTCTGGCAAATCTCAGTTTTAATTAACTTCATATTAGACAAACATTAGGACCCAGAAGGAGGCAAACTCAGCACTGACAAGCCTGCACAAGTCACGCTGAGGCCACAAGAGGCTGCTGTAAGCCCGCAGCAGGAAGGCAGCACCGGGAGCAGGGAGACACCTTCCCATCCCGTTACAGCTCACGGCACGGCCCGAGGATGCCCCGTATTCCAAGCACATCGCGCTCCCTCCACGCTCCTTGTGGGATGTGTGGCCTTAACCTGCTCCCAGGTCCGTGCCCCTGGCTGGGAGCTCGGGGACTCAGAGGCCAGAGTTCATTCTGACTTCCCACTCACAGTCGGGTACCCTGTGCTGCTCTTTCTATCCAAAATTCAAACAACAACCCACCCATCAAGGTGTTTTTAAGAGCTGTTTTGTCAGCTTTGATATGATCACACGCAGCACTACATCCCCCAACTAACAAATGGCAACTTCCACTTGTAGTTCTCTCCAAGCTCTGAACTACTGTGTTTTCTAAAACTACATTTTCTGGTTTTGTTCTGAAAAGAACCCAAAAGCTACAAAACAGGAAGGAACAGAAAACTACCCAAGTTTGAATTTGCTGAGTAAAATTATTATTATTTCGAGTCACAGACAGAAATGTTGCTTTTAGTCACTAGTTTTGACCCACTTTCAAATTTTATATATATTTTTCCTAAGACAGGACAAGCAGCTTTGGGTAATATTACGTGGTATTTTTTCTGCTAAAAAGAACCTACACCCTTGTCTGAGAAATTATACAGCTGCACACTGTAATTTCTGTTATCCTGAGAACAGTGGATAACATCAGTCTCTTGTTTTGTGTCATGTTACACTTACATTAAAGTGGCATTTGAAAATAAAATTATGCAGACTGCAGGAGAGAATGCACTTGTCAGTAAACCCTTTATTTTGAAGACACAGTACTCAGCACAAAGGTATTTTTAAAATACTGTAATAAACTATTGTGCTTTACCTTTAAGCACTGATAATTTTCGACATGCTTTGGGGAGCTCACTTGAATGTATACTTTGAGTTATAAAAGTGGAACGAAAGCAATTTTCACCTGCCAGTTTTTAAATCTGCCAGGAAATTCTTAAATCTGCAAGCAAGGAAAATCCCCACAATGATGCCTGGTATTACTGAATCTGTCATCATTCTAACTCAAACCTTACAGTTAATGTGCTAAAATAAATGCAATTTCCCTACCAAAATGCTCTGTGGTGGGAAGAGGGAAAGCTGTGTTTTCCTTGGGCATTTATAGCCTGTAGGAACACAAAAGAAACCAAGGGGGAATAAAGGAAATAAAACAGGCTTGTGCAGCAACACAAGCATATTCCTTGAGCTGTGTGTCTCCTTTGTTTAGCAAAGGACAACAAGTGAGCAGATGCCACTGAAGGGCCTGGATTGGTCCTAAAAGGCAAATTACTGGGTTTTCTAAAAGTAATTTCGCAGCTCCCATTACCAGGACCGTGTAGCTACTTCGAGCACGAGCCTTATCAAGAACAAACCCAAACAATTACCATTTGCTTCAGGAGCTCCTGTAAAGAGCCTGATGGGAGCAGAGGGATTGGAACAGCTCTGCTGGTATAAAAGTCTGGGAGACTTGGGATTGTTCAGCCTGGAGGAGAGAAGGTTTTGGGGGGAAATAATTGTGGCCTTCCAGGACCTGAAGGGAGCCGAGAAAGATGGGGAGAGACTGTTTCCAAAGGGCCTGGAGGGACAGGACAAGGGGGAGTGACTTCAAAATGAAAGAGGAGAAATTTAGGTCAGGTATATGAAAGAAATCCTTCCCTGGGAGGGTGGGGAGGGACTGGGATGGAATTCCCAGAGAAGCTGCGGCTGCCCCATCCGTGGAGGTGTCCAAGGCCAGGTTGGATGGATCTCTGAGAAACCTGGGATGGTGGAGGGTGTCCCTGCCCATGGCAGGGGGTTGGAACTGGATGATCTTTAGGGTCTCTTCCAACCCAAACTATTCCATCTTCAGGTTTAACACACTACAGTGCCACGTTCATCTGTTGAGTCACAGCGCTCCAAGCGTGACATTGCAAAATTAATTTCTGCTGTGAGTGCCTGACTGCTGAGCAGGATTTCCCAGTTTTAACAAAATGAAAACAATGCTGCAGCAGTGAATGCAGAGTTTAGAAGAAAGTAGAAGCACGAATGAGTTTTGCTAAATAACCCTGAAAGCAACCTGCCTTTGGATGTGAGCTTGGCTTTAACACAGTGAGCAGAGCACTTGGAGGTCAGTGGGCACAACTGGATACTCATTGCCTTTGGTCCCAGCACCTCCTTCAGTAAACAGACTCTCACTACAATGAGCATCCCAAATCCTCACTCATTCACTGCAGAGGGAGAAGCAGTAAGACTTTGCCCTTGGTCAAAAATATCTATATACAGCCCAGAATCCTGCCAGCCATGAATTTAAAGAGCAGAACTCCGATCCTTGATCATTAACCAAGCTTAAACCACACGTTTTTGAAAGTGATTGATTTTTAGAATGAAAACTGTTTTTTCAGCTCTATCTTACCCTACCATCCACATACACCATCAAACTCAGCTACAGAACTTCCACAAAGACCAATCATTCTAAAATTAAACACTCACAGTGAACAGGGGTCTTCTTCTGTAAGGTCTGATAAATAGACATTTGCAAAGTGGATGAACAACATCCCTATGGCTTGCTTGGAAGTATCTAAAAACCTGTGGAGAGTAAAAACAGCTTTTAAGACACACAAAACTGTTTACATGATAAAGGTGTCATGGTATTTAGCTTATTTAACAATGTTCCATTTCAAATTCTGCCCCTGTTTTTTCTTGAATACTGCTAACAATAACTCAAATCATATTAACTTGAAACCTACCCCTGTAAATTTAAAGCCTATGGATATCCTCTTGGTATCACATGCATTATCCATGAGCTAATCCTCAATAAATCTAGCTAAGTCTTTAATAACCCCTGGGAAACAATGAGTATCCTGGCCTCTCTAGGTATTTTGGGCCTTTCATGTTTATACATTTTTAGCAAGTTTATGGCACAGACAAAAATAAAATCCTCATCACAGGCTTGTGGGTGAGCAATTTAATAGCTGGCTAATGAGTTCTTTATCTATAGTATTTTATTTAAAAGCCAACGTATTTTTTTATCTGAAAGTATGAAGTGGTTTCACCAAATTTTATCTGTAGTACAACAGCTTAAAACACACTGCAGAATTCCAACCTTGACAGCATTATCTTCAAAGCAGATGACAAAGCCAGAGAGAAAGTTGTTTGCCACTTAAAGGGAAATATAAATACCCCATTCAGATACCGATTCAGTATTGACTCTGACCCTTACCATTCTTTTACCATCACCCTTTGCACAAAACCAAAACTTTCAGTGGGCATTTTATTAGATGTTAAATGTAGAAATCACAACAAAAGTATTCTGCAGGCAAGAGTGTGTTCTTTATACAGAGCAACACCCATTTTGCCTGTTGCTTCCATGTCTAAAAAGATCCAAACACCCCAACAGACCCAAATGACATTTCATGCCTGAATTCATCTACTCTCCCTGATAACTTTGTCTTAAAGCTCCTTCTCTTCATTCACTGCACGACACAGAAAGCAGAGTGTTGGAGATGAGGCAGGAAGCCAGTGAGTTACTTATCTAATCAGTGTGCCAAGCTAAAAATAACAATACTTGAGTTCCAGAACAAGATTCTTTGCTTAAAAATTAAGGGCTATCACTGCACTTGTCAGAATTTCAGGCTGAGGTAGACTGTAGCACACCTCAGATGTAGATTTTGCATTTATTTTTTCAATAAAATAAAGGTCAAGATTAGTTTTGAAAAGCAGCACCCTACGAGGTGAATTTAAACCACTGAAACCTTCAACAAGCAGAATGACAACCTAACATTTACACCAGTCTAAAAACTGGTACAGCTGATGTTGCATTGCTTCAACCCAGGAACTTTTAAAATGTAATAAACACCAATACACTTTTTATACCTTGTATTCTTTTATGGCTGATGTATTTCTATCTTTCATCATACTGTTTTCTATTTGATACACAGTAAGATAGCTACAGAACATGGAGTTCTGTTTAAGCCCAGCTGAGAGCTTCCTGTAAGCTTATTTAAGTTTGTGGATGTTCAGAGGAACCTTAGGGCAACTCTGAGTTTCCATGTTCAGGAGGAACCACAACCTGAAGCTTTATGTCTAAATGAACATCTCTGTAGAGATTCCTGGAAGTGTTTAGCAAGAAAGGCCTCACCAGAAAACACACAGAAGGTAACTTTTCACTGACTCATGTATTCTGGTAACGTTTTTGGTTCCTCACTGTCAATCACCAATTTCTTGCCATCACTTTTCTCTATTTTAATCATCATATGCAAACAATAGTCCCTTCAATTTCTAAAACACGCAAGAAACAAACAAAAATTCAGAATAAAGCCTGCAGAAACCCACCATATCCTCCAGGGACGTCTTTCGTGCTTTGGTTCTCTGAAGCGCTTTACTAAAAAGAAAAAAAATAAAACAAAAATTAATTGAAGACTCTCAGCAACTCCCAAAGCCAAAAAAAAAATAAATATAGAAAAAGCAAAGCAAATCATCTTGCAGAAACGTTACATTCTGTGATAAATTGGATCTTTCACTACTGCACTTTATCAATCTCCAAGGATCCATGTTTAAAGAAACTGGCTCCCTTCCATCACCTTCAAGTTTCTGCAGCTCCATCCTCTGAGTGCCTCACATGGAACAATAATCCATGTCCCACCATTCCATTGGCCTGAGCTTTTACAACGGCCCATCCAGGAAGTTTATTTTCTGACAGGAAAGCAGGGATTAGAAAAAGCTGTTTCTTTTGCTCACTGGAGTCCAAAAGTCCAATTGGAAAGTGTTCTTGTAATATGGGGCAATATTATCAGGTAAATTAAGTCAATAGGAGGACAAATACATTCTCTGACAAAGTATCTTTGTGTATGACAAGACTTTTGTGGGCAAACTGAACTGCAAAACGAAAGCAGGACGGATGTTTTTTAGTCAGATAATCCCTTCACAAAAAAGGGTGATAATTGTTACATATTAAAAACTCAAAAAAAATCCATAGTAAAATTAATGCCAATTATAATAAAGGCAAAAAAACCCCCTTAAGTTTGTTTGTTTTGATTTTCATACAGTTTATAATACAAATTGTTTGGGTGTCTGATAGAAAGCTCTTCTCACACCCTGCCCAGGTCCACGTGGAAGGATCTAGATGACTCATGAAGGAACAAGTGTAGGAAAATAGAGAGACAAGGGGATAAAACCAGTTGCTCAGTTGTAAACAGTGGCTGGTCCATACATTTGTACTGTCTGACCTGCAGCTGTCCTATCTTCTTAGGAAATCCCATTTCTAACTCCTTCTGGGACTTCCTACTGGGAACACACACTCAGCCCTGCCATGGGTTGGACCACAAACTTATTTTCTGTTACTGCTGCAAGATACTAATTCCTTACTCATCCCAAAGACAGACTAAAGATAACACAGAAGAGGAAACCTTTCCACTAAGGATGGGGTTTATACATGGGTTTTCCTTCCTTCTGGCCAAGGTTCACTGTCACTCACCAGCTCCTTCAACATAAGTCTTGAAAAATAACTATTTAGGCTCTTATTGCAGAAATTATCTCTTATAAAAAAAATTAAGCCCCAATTCCCCTCCAACCTTTGAAATTGCAGAGATTTGGACTTCAAAAAGCACAAACCACAGCAGGTGCAGTCAGGCAAAACATCAACAGGTACCTTAACCTGCTTCTCCAGGTACCAGGGATGGGTTTCAGTCTGACACAGGATGCTGTGTGTAAGTCATGCTTGCCCAGCTTACAAGCTTTTAAACCACAGTCTGGTTTCTGAACCAATCACAACTTTCTTAAAAGTAAGGCAATTTTCCCGAAGTCAACTGTCCTCATACTATACAGCATTAATATAATGCCCTAAATGCCTTTAAATAAATAAAAAGCTGAATGAATCACCTCCAAGCTGGAGGGGCAGCACTTGCAGGGAGCACCAAGCTCCCAACCTGCCATCTCACTGTCTGTCACTGCTTCTGGCAGCAGGGAGAAACATGGGAAATTAAAAAGTGACAAGAGGAAAAGACTGTACATTTACACCAAAGATAAAGTTGTAATAGCAACATTTGCCAGCAGTTTTCTCCGTGAACAGCATGACAGAAATACAAAACTTCTGTTAAAAATGAGCAACACCCAGCCAAGTTAACCAGTTTGTTATTTATGACAAGTCCTCCCCAGTCACACTATGGATTACTTTAATTAGTGGCTCTTTTGTATAACAACAGGAAGCCAAAAAGCATCACAAAACAAATGCAAGGAACAGAAGTTTCAGTTTACTGTGGAGTTAGTGCAAGATGCTTTTCTGCACACAAAATGGAATTAAACCGGTAAGATGGGCATATTTTGGGGAGGGGTGAATTCCAAACTTACTTTTTTTGGCTTTTGTTGCAGTGAAGTTCTATAAGCCTGTGGATTCATTAATTTCCTTAAAGAATTCACAAAAAATTCATTTTGGAAGAAGATATTCAGAATCAATTCAACTAATACCATTTCAAATGTCATCCATACTGAGAAATGGATTCGAGGTCTGTTTCTCTGGCCAGCTCTGAAAACACATTTCATCTGAGTTAACAATAAACAGGAGAGTTAACTTTGAAAGCCTCTCAGTTGTCTTTTGGGAATGTACTAATCACCAACTTCTACCTCCCCAAATTAAATGAGACAATCTGTGCAAATGCTTTAGGAGGTGCTATGTGATGAATATGTACCTTTTCATGTGAAAGCCCAGTAGATTTTTTTTTTAAAAGCTGTGATTGGTTCAGAAACCAGACTGTGGTTTAAAAGCTTGTAAGCTGGGCAAGCATGACTTACACACAGCATCCTGTGTCAGACTGAAACCCATCCCTAGTACCTGGAGAAGCAGGTTAAGGTACCTGTTGATGTTTTGCCTGACTGCACCTGCTGTGGGTTGTGCTTTTTGAAGTCCAAATCTCTGCAATTTCAAAGGTTGGAGGGGAATTGGGGCTTAATTTTTTTTTATAAGAGATAATTTCTGCAATAAGAGCCTAAATAGTTATTTTTCGAGACTTACATTGAAGGAGCTGGTGAGTGACATTGAACCTTGGCCAGAAGGAAAACCCATGTATAAACCCCATCCTTAGTGGAAAGGTTTCCTCTTCTGTACTATCTTTGGTCTGTCTTTGGGATGAGTAAGGAATTAGTATCTTGCAGCAGTAACAGAAAGCCCATCCATGGAAGTGCTGTTTTCTCAGCCCAGCCCCTTGCAGCGTGTCTGTGAGCACCAGGTATTTCCCCCACACACAGATACTACCAGGTACTTCCCAACAAACCCCTTATGCAGAATCTGGGCCTTCCCAATAAGTAAACTGAACAAAAACCCAGGAGGCTGTAGGTGACCACACTGGATAGCTCAGAGTCCTTGGCATGTTTGCTATTAACACATTAATTTTAGAACAAAAAGCCAGCGTGTTATTCCAATAAAGATTCTGTACATTTTTTAAGCATCTATGCAAACTGGGGAACACGTGAGGACTGTAGGTGCTCTCAGCCCCAGTCCCAATTTCTCCTGGCAGTTCCTCTGCCCCACCACAAGCTGGGAGCCGTGTGTGTGTCAGCTGACAGATGGATCCCAATCTGCCGGTTCCTCAGCGCTCCATATGCTCCGGCTTCGAGCGCCGCACTCGCACCAGCAAGAATCCACCATATTTAATATTAATTAACTAATAATGTTCAGAATTTCATGCTGAATTATAAATGAAGAGCGAAGTGCTGCTTGTTTATACATTCGGTGCCAGAATTTTTCAGGAAAGGAAATAAAAGCACTTCTGCCAACAAGCATGTGAGCTGCCAGATGGACAGAGAATAGATAAGCATATAAGGCACAATATCGCTAATGCAAAATGCAAGTTCATTGAATTGTCTTCCCACTTCATTGAAATTCTAGGAATAATTAATGCCAGAGTACTGTGGAAGGGTTTCTAACACTTTCTTTAACATAGGAGGTTTGCAGTCAGAAGTTCAGAAGACTCATGGGGAAGAATAAAGGCCAAAACAGACAAGAAATAAAGTAAATCATCTCCAAATTGTCACTATGAAAAGCAATACTTGAATCCGTATTAGAAATTCAGCCTTTCTTTCTCTCCCTCTTTCACCTCCTCAAGAAGTCATACAGCAAATATTCTGATGTAGAGTAACTTTAATATGGATTTAAGAACTCCAAGTTTCTGGATGGCTGCTCTTGTAGCAGCACAAAAGTAGCACACCTCTAAGGTTTGAAATGTTTCCATATATCATGTATTACTGCACTTCTTAGATGTTGGTTGGTTCTGGTAGTTCACAATAAGAATCTTTCCGACCACAATAAATATCTAAGAAGATACCTCTGAGCTCATTAATCTGAAATTCATAAAAGTAAAATAAGCTAAAGAATATTCAACATGTTCGATGTCCTCTTCTGAGAAGAGAGTTGGGAATTTCACCTGTATTTCCAGTGCTTCTCAAAACTTTTTCAAAGATGGGGTTTCACTTCATAAACCTCCTACACATTTCTGTCATCAGAGCTCAGCAGAGCCACAGCTGAGCTGGCCAAACAGAAAAGGAGGAAAGGTTGGTGAGGGTCACATTTGCACATCACACACTCACAGTCGCTCACCTGCCTGGGCAGCTGCAGCAGGGACAGAATCAGACCCTTCTCACAGGTGCCCAGGCAATGGGCACCAGTAAAGCTGCAGCCAGGGAAATTCCAGCATGAAAGAAGTCAAAAATTTCCAATGAGAGAAATTAAACTCTGCAACAAGTTGCCCACAGAGGGTGCAGTGACTGAAACACCCTCTGAAAATTCCCTGGACGATGCTCCAAGCAAGGGGATGTCAGAGCAGGAATGGCCCTGCTCTGAGCAGGAGGTGGGAGCAGGTGACATTTGGGGTCCCTTCCAACAGAAATTGGTCTGTAAGTCTAAAACTCATTTTTTCTGTGCTATGACATTTAAAAGTTCCAAGATTTGAGCCAATTACCAAAGGACCAAAGCATGGTTAACTGAATATCACACACACATATGTGGATGCACAGAATTTAACAGTGAGATCCCCACTGCAGATTGAGCCTCCCGAACAATGGGTTTGCAACCAGACAGCTCCCCCAACACAGCCCTCTGAGTGCAAGACTTGGGATCTGCAGGGTTACTTTGACACTAATTCATGTGATTCCCAACATTCAAGACAAGTTTCCCACAGAAAGCTGTGTGTGGACTAACAGCTGAAGTTACACCAAGCATTAATTAGCACCCAAACTCGGAATCAGATACAGGATTTCATACGGCTACTCCCAGACAACTGAGCTATTTTCAGAACATTTGGCTATCAGAACATATGCATCACAAATTTCAACCTGCAATTTCCAACCCTGTAAAAAACTTGTAAAGTCAACTACATATGCAGGCCAGATTTT